TGTTTTGACTAGAAATTATCAAATTTAAACTTGGGGTCCCACTTTAATGCTTAAGAACTTTGGCTTCTTTCAAAAGTAAAAATATAGTATTTAGGCGTAATTTGTATGAATTACAGAAACATGGCACACATACCTCCTTAAAGCATTTTAATAAAGTCATTGAGTAATGTTATATATTTAACTATTCCGATCTTTTTAGATTTTAGTAACACCTGATGTTTGTACTCTCATCAGATGTCTCAAAAGTGAAGTCACGTCAACCTGGAGTTGAGGTTATATTTCTAACAAAATGTAGATTTCTTTCTGTTAGCCTGTCACACTGTATTGTTTGTGAAAAGCTTCTTTGAAGTGTTGTGGTTTTTCAGGTTTTTATAAGCCTCACTTCAGCATGTTTGCCTGGCATTCTTCAGCGGTACAGAGTCAACATGTCAAATAACTTCACGCAGTGGACATATTTGGAATGCGATTCTGCCGCAGGAGCTGGGAGCTTGAGCTGCACGCACTGCCATGCTTTCAAAAGGCAAAACCGTCCGGAATCAGTGCAGTGACTGCGTGTTGCTGTTCCTTTCCTGAGAACTGGTTACCGACATAGGGACTCTCACAGAATAGACATGCAGTTTAGATGCGGCAAAGAGCCTTGAATGCTACGTCAGCTGTGCCTCTGGCTCCAGGCCCTGCGCAGTGCTAGCATGATGCTCAGCCCTGTGTGTCAGCTGGGTCTCCTTCTCCTGGAGACCTTCCCTTGCCCAAGTGCTTTCTCATGGTGAGACACAGGTGCACGAACACCAACATTGTGACTGCAACATATTTTTCATATGTCTTCATAGTATTTTATACATTTTTTAAAAGGCTGATAAAAATAGTTGGTCTAGCATTGAGGGAGAGGGAAAGAGGAGAGAGAAGAGGCAAAAATAACATCTGTAACTGTTTCCAAAAGCAGTAGGACTACAGTGATTACAAGTCCCATTAAGAAAGTTATCCTATTGCCGTAACCGGTTTGGCTCAGTGGATAGAGCATCGGCCTGCGGACTGAAAGGTCCCGGGTTCGATTCCAGTCAAGGGCATGTACCTTGGTTGCGGGCACATACCCAGTGGGGAGTGTGCAGGAGGCAGCTGATCGATGTTTCTCTCTCATCGATGTTTCTAACTCTCTATCTCTCTCCCTTCTTCTCTGTAAAAAATCAATAAAATATATTTTTTTTTAAAAAAAAAGAAAGTTATCCTATTGTTTGAACTAAAATATTCTAGTTGAAGTGCGTCAGCAATGTAGACAGAAGCCAAATACTGTATGATCGGTCCCTTTACCTCTCCGAGGAAGTGGACGGGAATCCATGTGCCTGACTTTTTCTTTTTCAGAGAGAAACAGTAGAAAATTGGTTCCCTTACTCCTTCATGTATCTGTAAGAACAAGGCCCAAGACTAGCCATTGTGAAGAATAGAAATTACCTGTGGCTGGGTTATGGGCATCCAGACGCTTACATCTAGGAGGACACATAAGCAAAAATATACCATGTAGGGCAGTATTTGGGAAGGACTCTATGTGGTGGTACAGACTGCCATAGAGCAGCGGCCGCCAACCTTTCGGACCTCATGGACCGCCGTGGTTCGCGGACCACCTGTTGGTGACCCCTGCTCTAGTGGGTATGTTATGTATGGTCCTTTTGGAAGGGAGAGGTCAGGGTAAGCAAATTGGAGTGACTTTTCAGCCAGGACTTGAAGAATTGGTAGGTGTCTTGTAAGAATAATTATAAGACATTCATGCCGTGGAAAGACCATAAGAGTCAGTATTAAAAAGTAGTTTACAGCCCTGGCCGGGTTGGTTCAGTGGATCGACTGTCGGCCTGCGGACTGAAGGGTCTCAGGTTCGATTCCAGTCAAGGGCATATGCCCGGGTTGCAGGCTCAATCCGCAGTGAGTGGCGTGCAGGAGGCAGCCGATCAATGATTCTCTCTCATCATTGATGTTTCTATCTCTCTCTCCCTCTTCCTTTCTCTCTGAAATCAATAAAAATATTTTTTAAAAAAAGTAGTTTACAAAGTTACCTTTTGAGAGTTAAACTAATTGTCATTACAAACTAATAGGCAACATGTCTTGAGGCCCAAAGGAAGGAACACCTACGCTACTGGTAATAGTTACTTAAATAGCATATCAGGGTGTCCCCCCAAAAATGTATACACACTTTGAATAATTATAAAGGCAGTGTTTATTGAAATACATTTCATTTTCAAAATGTAATAGAATCTACAGACATAGTGTGTTTGCATTTTGGGGGGACACCTGTATATAGCTTTAAATGGTTCTCAACAGGAGAAGGCAGGCCATGCAGGAAATGGTGCATTGTGTGGCCCCAGCACGTCCCAGGGAAAGAGAAGACTTCCAGGAACTTGAACTTGGTCATCAGATGTGTGTCCCCTGCTGTCGGGTGGAGATTAATCACTGGGGCGTACCTCACTGGAGTGAGGCACTCTTTCGGTTACAGATTTCTCCCCGTTGTCGGTAGGGCATAATGACAAGAATGTGGCCTCGGGATCAGAACTCGTTCAAATCTCATGCCCAAACGTGCGAGCCGAGTGACTCTTGACAAGATACGCTACTTGTCTCTGCATGGGTACAATGGGGCTAAAACTATCTGTCTGCTAAGGAATCGTGAGGATTGAATGAAAGCATTGATCTGAAGAGTTACACTCAGGGCCTAGCACAACACTCAGCGAAGCTGTGAATATGATCTGTAATTTTATACCCACCAAGAGCCTTAACCACTAATTTCTCGATACCTGAATCATCCCAAACAGGGTGTGCAGGTCAGACGCTTGAGCATTCCAGGAACGAAATCAGATACCCCGTCAGGAAGCAGTGCCTCCCAGCATTTTCAAACAGTGCTGGGAGCCTGAATCAGTCATCAGGAACCTAAGCGTTCCTGGGAGGTCAGGAAGCACCGTTTCTGAACCCGCCGTGAGGCAGAGGCTGAGACCTGTGTGAGTGACCTGCCAGTGTTGAATGCCAACCTGGAGAGTGTGCAAGTAATGACAGCCCGCTTTCATTCAGCATTCACTGGGGGCCAGGGACCCTGCTAAGTGCTCTGCCTGCCGTGTTGTGTCAGCCTCAAAAACGACTCTTCAGGGCAGGTTTTAAAATTCTCCTCTCTAATGAGAAAAGTGAAGCTTGGAGGTGCTAGGTAACGAGGTCACACCGTTGTTCGTGGCAGAGCCAGGATTTGAGCCTCAGTCTGCCGCTGCTCTCAGCCATCACGCTGCAGTGCACCAGGGTCAGACCAGGAAGTCCCGGTTTCAGATCCAGTTCCACTTCCCTCCAGGAACGTGATCTGAAGCGAGGGGTTGTTGCCTCTCGGGCCTCAGAGTCTCCATCTGAAGCCCAGAGTGAATGCGGCCCATGTAACGGGCTTATTCGGAGGATTGGGAATAAGGCACCTGAAGTACCCGGCACAGTTTCTAACACACGGAAGTGATTCACCCCGACAGGGTGGCTACTATTTGGGGCTCTCTAGACGGTTTTCTACTTCCCACTGTCCCCCTTAGCCTGTGACTTCCGTGTCACTTGCAGGTAAAAGTAAAACCTTTATACTTTTCCACTGCAAATACATGTAGACTATGGCTTGTTTATTTAATTTATAAAATAATCGAGGCTATTACCAGTTTTAAGGTCTGACATTTGTCCTACGTAGCCACATAAATGTCACTGTTTTTATTGTGATAAAATGTAAATAACATAAAACATGCCATTTTAACCATTTTTAAGTCTACAATTCTGTGTCATCAATTACACACTGTCATGCAGCCATCACCATTGTCGTTTCCAGGTCTTTCCATCACCGTAAGCAAAGCCTCTGTTACCATGTAACTGTAACCCCCTCTATTTAGAATTTCTTTTAGTTCTACACTAAGTTATTCTAGTCAGATCAAATCCTCTTACTTTTTACATCACATACCTATCCGTTGAAGATAAGTAGTATATGTTTTAAGGAAGATGATACCAGTCAGATTTAGATATTTTTATGTTTGCCAAGCAGTACTGTTATGTCTGAATCAAAGTATTCCAGTTGCAAAATATGTTGAAAGCATATGATACAACCAGGGTAGAGGTGATGATATAGCTTATACTTCCTTTTCATATTTTTAAAGAATTGTACTTTACATGTCTAAAGAGTAAGCATTTCTGTTTATTAATTAGAAGAATTTAAAAAGTTCTATTATTGAGAGGTGGTTTTTTTCCCAGAATTACTGGAATATTATATTTTACTCAAACCCAAAATCATATTTGGCATGAAATAAAACTAAATCTGGCTGACACCATTTCCCTTAAAATGTAATGTACTTTTTGATAAGAGTGGATAAAACGTGACTGATCAAGGGCTTGTAATCCATTTTGTAGATCTTCAAAATGTTTATTTTCAGAATGTGAAAGATGTAATGAGAATAGCATAAATATATGCTACCTGAATTTTTCCCCACATGCCTTTTTCAATTTATTTTAAATAGATATAAACGTTTTCATTTGCAAATATTGCTGGTGTTTGGCCAGACAAGGACTTAAACAACTAACTTTCACTTGTCCGGTTAAGTGTCCAGTTATAGCATGAGTGGTCGATTTTAGCAGATAACCTCATCTAACCAATAATTTCTTTCATTGAGGCAGCAGTCCCAACATGATGCACATTAGAATGTCCTAGAGAACTAAAAATACACCGTCTCTGGGCTTGAGCCACAGAGACTCTGGTTTGATAGATTTACGACAGACTTTACTCGCGTGTTTATTTGTAATAAACATCAGCCAGGGTTGAGAACCACTGTGTCCAAAGGAGAACGAGAACGGGGGGAGGGGATCTGGGGTGGGACTGCGAGAGGGGGCGGGAGTGAGCGCCAGGCATTTCCCACGCCTCCCTGGTTAAGTCAGGCAACCCCAGAGAAGAGGAAAAGGAGGCTCCCTGGTAGATCCAGAATTTAGAAAATAAAGCAGCTTTTCTCTTTTTGTCATTGCAGACATGGAAGGACTTTAATGAAACTCACAGGACTCCACAAAAGATGCTCTAATGGATGACAGTGAACCGCCTGCAGGTAAACTTCAGATAGAACCACAAGATGGGCGTCCTCCTGGTGGCGGTGTGGAAAGTGTAGGGTCCCGCTTGCCCTCTGCATCGGACGAAAATGAAAATCGCCTTGACGGGTGTGGGCATGACCGCCTGACCAGCAGTGACGGCGCCATGGGCAACCCTGCAGCGTCCGAGCAGGACAGTCTCAACAACAATGCAGGCTGCACACCCAGCTGTGAGGCGGCCGCCAGTGCGACCTCAGAAAACACTGCTTGTGAAGGCCCCGAGGATGGACAGGACTTCTCGGGAAAGGACGAAAACATACCTGGAAAGAGAAGCCCAAGAACCAAGACAGGCACGGCCAGGAAGATCCCACCAGGTATTGTTTGTAATTACTGCTTGTGCCACTCCCTGAAAACACATCTTCTTCCCGCCCACACTGTACCGGCCCCGCATCTCGCTTGTCTTCTCTCAGTATAGTCCGGAGCTAGTGCTACAGGCGCACAAACAGACCCAGCTGCGTGGTATGCGGGCGTGTGCCGTGTCTCCGCAGCATCCCACCGTGTGGGTGTACCGTCCTTTATTTAACCATTGCTTTATGGCTACTCCCAGTATGCTCTGTAATAAATGTGCTGAAATTGACATTCTTTATACATGTTTTCACACTAGATACTTTAAATACAGGGTATCCCCAAAAACTGTATACACACTTCGAATAATTATTAATCCCAATGGGTTAAATCTGAAAAGCAAGAAACATCAATTGATCTAAAAATATTAAAGTGTGTATACATTTGGGGGTGGGGAGAGAGATGCCCTGAATATAGGGTCCTCTTCCTTTATAAATTAGACCCTTTTCTGCCAAAATTAGTCTCAAAAATTTCCTTCTGTCATCACTGTGGCTTTGATCTCTAACCTGTGAGTTTATGTGCTTGTATAGTCTTACTCTCTATAAAATCTTTCCAACTCACTCAGTGGGTGAATATATACATTAACAATAATGTTGAATAAGACATCAAGCTTTAATTATCTATAGTCACTTTGGTTACAGAGTAATTCAGAGCATAACTTACTGGGCATGTGGTTTGGTGATTAAAATGTGGAAGTAGGGACTATTTTGCCTGGATGCCAGGGCAGCCCTGGGAAAAGGCAGCCTCTGGCTATTTTGTATCAGAAGCGTGAGGGGGGTGGGCTGGAGGGTTCTGGGGCATCCCCCGCTGGGACTCCTTGGTCAGCGCCACTCCCAGGCCAGCTGCCTGCATCCGGCTCTCCTGCGCCGAGTGCACTGCCTCCTCTCACCTGCTCCTGTCTTCTGAGTCTGTGGCTGATTTGCCATAGTCTGTTTTTTATTGTTTTGTTTGTTTGTTTTTAATATATTTTATTGATTTTTTATAGAGAGAAAAGGAGAGGGATAGAGAGTTAGAAACATCGATGAGAGATCGATCAGCTGCCTCCTGCACACCCCCTACTGGGGAGGATGTGTCTACCAAGGTGCATGCCCTTGACCGGAATCGAACCTGGGACCCTTCAGTCCGCAGGCTGTATCCACTGAGCCAAACCAGTGAGGGCCAGTATTTTTTAATTTGGAGTAAAAGATGAAATTTTCCAGTTTCTACAAATCAATCCTTATTTATTCTATAAGGTAACTTGATAACTTTTTAATGCAGCTCATAATTTGACTTTCCAGTTAATTGCATGCCCTTGACCGGAATCGAACCTGGGACCCTTCAGTCCGCAGGCTGTATCCACTGAGCCAAACCAGTGAGGGCCAGTATTTTTTAATTTGGAGTAAAAGATGAAATTTTCCAGTTTCTACAAATCAATCCTTATTTATTCTATAAGGTAACTTGATAACTTTTTAATGCAGCTCATAATTTGACTTTCCAGTTAATTGATCCCTTTGTCTTTGCTTTTCCTTAGTAGTCTTAAAGCAAATGAAAATAAATTTGATAAGCAATATGAAAGCATTTTTTACAAGACCTACATTAGCTATGATATATACAGTACTACTTATATAAATTGATTTATTCTTTATAATTCAAGGGCAGCTTGACTGTGCCTCTCTAATCCAATCTTGTGATATTTTTAAGAACTGAGATCTAGTTGCATATGTATCAGGGTCAGTCATAGCTTCACGATTATGACTCCTTTTACGGTATTCCTCCCTTCCATGGCCTTATCCCAGTTTTCCTAGGTGGGATTGTGTAATTTAAAGTTGCTTAGTACTTACTACCAGTGAGAAGATATGTGTAGAATTACCACCCCCTAATGCACTTGAAATAATATGTTTATAAAACCTGGGAATAGTCTTTATATAAAGATTATGTTAAGCTTATTTTTTTGCATCTAATATAAAATGAGTATAAGAGTGTAAGAAGCCGAATTAAGAGTTGTAAAACCTAAGTTGAATCTTACTTCTGGTTCTAGGTCACTTGGTGAGACCTATTTGCTCTGCACTTCACTTTTCTCCTTTGTATAATGATGTTCATATATGTGTATCTACAAAATGCCTTTCTGAGCAGTGAGTAGATTTCTGAATAGAAATGGTATGTCTACACTCGGTTGAAGTTTGGTGATTTACCTCTGGCTTATCTATAGAGTTTTTACATGTAAAGGGTACGTTTTCATTTGTACTTTAAGTTTTCTTAAAGGAAGGTAAGTCTAGGTGGGCAAAAGAATGTTAAACTGAATGAAAAGCTATTTTTGAGGGTAGAATTATCCCTTTCTGACCCGAAAGGGCCTAAGGTGGGAAGCTTTAGGACTACCTGGGCGCTTGCCTGTTTACCCTGAGATCCCTGAGGCCCGTGCTCTCAGTCCGTGTCCAGTCACAGTCTCAGTGACGGTTTCTCCCTACGACTCTCGTTAGCCTGTTCCTCCCCGTCTCCACCACACAGTCCCGGTTCCGCAGCAGCGGCTTTAGCTGGAGTCCTGCCCAGGACCCTGCGTGTGTCTCCCGCCCTGCCTCTCCATAAGCCCCTCTGTGTGGGAACTAACACTGCAGACATTCATGCTGGGCAGGGCATACGTACTCTCCTCTTTACTGGGAAATCTTAACATCCCAAACAAGTACAGTTCCAAAATTTTACAGATGAGTATTTTTCTAATAACAGAATAATTTCTAAAATGTGAAATGATATCTAAAATGTGACTTTCAATCCCAAACCAGGAATAAGCTGCTTGTCGGTAAGTGCTCTTTCAGTACTTTTTAAGAAACATACATTAAGGTAAACTCACTCCTATGCTCCCTGACCTAGCTTAATTTATAGTACTTTTTCATGTACCCCAAGGCTAGTACTGTTAAAAAAAAATAGAGCAATAGTATTACGATACATGATTTTATCGATTTCTTGGAGGCAGCATTTCTATAAACCTGCTAAGCCTTGAACTTGGCCTCATCTAAGTCCAGTTGTCATTATGGTAAGGGCTTATTTTTTCTTTTTTCTTTTTTAAATATATTTTATTGATTTTTTACAGAGAGGAAGGGAGAGGGATAGAGAGTTAGGAACATCGATGAGAGAAACATCGATCAGCTGCCTCCTGCACACCCCCTACTGGGGATGTGCCTGCAACTGAGGTACATGCCCTTGACCGGAACCGAACCCGGGACTCTTCAGTCCCCAGGCCGACGCTCTATCCACTGAGCCAAACTGGCCAGGGCAGGGCTTATTTTTTCTTTAAGAGAATTTAATCCCCTTGATTAGTCAACTAAGCAGGGTTACAGGCTGCGTTACAACAAGTTTTCGCTGGCATCGTTTTAGGTAAATAATATTTCAAAAATTAATGGAAATGAGCCTATAAATATTTAACAGCCTTATTGAGATATACTAGTAATTCCCACCTAAATTGTACAGTACAAGTCAATGATGTATAGCTATTCAATAGCTGTGCAGCCATTACCACAGTCAATTTTAGGACATCTTCAGTGCCACACAGAAACCCCATGCCTATTAGAGTTGCTCTCCCTTTCCCCCTTAGCCGTCCCAGCTCTAGGCAACCACTCACCCACTTTCTTTCTCTATAGACTTGCCTGCTCTGGGCATTTCACATAAATGGAATCGTACAATGGATGATCCTTTATGACTGGCTTCTTTCACTTAGCACAATATTTTCGGGATTCACCCATGTTGTAGCATGTGTCAGTACTTTGTTCCTCCCGAGGTCAAATAATACTCCATTGCATGGGTATCTCACATTTCATGTACCTATTTGTCAGCTGCTGGGTATTCTGGCTGTTTCTACTTTTTTTTTTTAATATGTTGTTATTGATTTCAGAGAGGGAGAGAGAGATAGAAACATCAGTGATGAGAGGGAATCATTGAGTGGCTGCCTCCTGCATGCCCCACACTGGGAATCTAGCCCGCCACCTGGGCATGCTCCCTGACCGGGAATCGAACTGTGACCTCCTGGTTCGTAGGTCGATGTTCAACCTCTGAACCACGCCAGCCGGGTTGTTTCTACTTTTTAGCTGTTATGAATAATGCTCCTGTGAACATTTGCATACAGGTTTTTGTGTGGACATATGTTTTCCTTTTGAGGGGTTTTATATGCACAGGAGTGGAATTACTGGATCATAAAGTAACTGTTTAACTTTTTGAGGATCTGGCAAACTATTTCCTGAAGTGGCTACACCATTTCACACGCTCACCAGCAATATATGAGGGTTATAGTTCCTCCACATTTCACCAGGACTTGGTAATATCTGACTCTTTATTAAAGCCAGAGTTGTTTTTACTTAGAAGTAATTCACATGCCATAAATTCACCTTTTCATAAAGTGGTTTTAGTACATTCAAAGTTGTATAACCACCTAATTCTAGAACATTTTATTCCCCCCAAAAAAGAAACTCCCCATTTTCCCCTGTCAACAACTGGGGCATAAATTTTGAATAGTTGTGAGATACAAGTTTAGATGAAGTTTCTGATGGTTCCCATAACAACTTCAGTTATTTACTCAGCCAGTCGCCATAGTTTCTAAACATTTGACAAAACAGCTCAGCAACTGGCAGGAAGCCAGAGGCGGCAGCAGATGCACATTGAGAAAGACCCTTCCAGACGGACTTTGCCACCCTGCAGTGCCCAGACTTGTTCCACTGGAGGCCTTCACAGCGTGGCCGCTGGGAGGTGACAGAGAGGCCTGAGAGCTGGGAAAACAGCTCTCGAGATGGTCTGTGTCCTGCAGTCAGGCTGTGCAGTGAGAACAAAGACTTGGGTTTTGAATGTTGGCTCTGCCTGTTCCTGTGTGACCCTAGAAAAGCAGTACCTCTGTTCCCGGAGCCTCCTGCCTTGTCTGTGGCAGGGCTGATCCCACCTGTCTTGTCCTTGAAGTGAGCAATCCTGAATGTCAAGCACCTGTGAAGTCCCCAGCGTAAAGTAGGGGCTT